ACAGTTCAGTCCACGGGTCGCAGTTCAATCCAGGGGTCACAGTTCAGTCCACGGGTCACAGTTCAGTCACGGGTAACGGTTCAGTCCACGGGTCACAGTTCAGTCCAAGGGTACAGTTTAGTCCACGGGTCGCAGTCAGGTCCACGAGGTCGCAGTTCAGTCCACGGGACGCAGTCCACTCCACGGGTCTCGCAGTTTAGTCCATGGGTCGCAGTTCAGTCCACGGTCACAGTTCAGTCCACGGGTCAAGTTCAGTCCACGGGTCGTAGTTCAGACACGGGTCACAGTTCAGTCCACGGGTCACAGTTCAGTCCACGGGTCGCAGTTCAGTCCACGGGTCACAGTTCAGTCCATGGGTCCGCAGTTCAATCCAGGGTCACAGTCAGTCCACGGGTCACAGTTCAGGTCCAGGGTCACAGTTCAGTCCACGGGTTTCGCAGTTCAGTCCACAGGTCACGTCTATGTCCATGGGTCACAGTGCAGTCCACGGGTCGCAGTTCAGTCCACGGGTCACAGTTCAGTCCACAGGTCGCAGTTCAAAAGCTGCGACCCGTTCAGACCCAAGTGGGGGAGCAGTCTCTAGCTGCAGGGGGCTCTTGACGGCCCTAGTCCGGTCGGCATGAAGTGGAGCCAAAAGGGCGTCAGTTGATGCGCTGCTTTGAGGTGACTCAATCAAATCATTGGTGACGAACGCTGGTGCAAACTCCTCACATAACAGTCCCCAGTCCCATCAAATGTAAACAGGATGCGCAGTTTGCTCTCAACACGCCGCCAGTGAGCTCCATTTTGCCATGCATAAGTGAGCATGCATGACAGATCTCGTCAATCATCCACCAGCCATGTCGTCAATCATCATAACGCAACCGATATAAATTTAGCGTCCAATCAGTGTCCATCACGCACCAGTGCTGAGGTATTTCGTTATCGACGGCACGTAACCGCTTGACCCGGTCCTGCTTGACATTTTGAAATGTAGTGTGGCACACTACGCCACCGCTGGTATTGAATTACACAGCCAAAAGTAAGAATAAAATCAGGAGCTTACAGCATATATTTTTGGTAAGGTGTTCAGTGCATTAGTGATGAACATTATTCACCAGATGCACTTGACACTTTTACATCTGAATAGCACTCCTGCTATTGTTTCGAGAGAAAGGCATGCCGCGAAAGTCAACCCAACTGTAAACTCCATTCTCCTGGTTTTCTCCGAGGAATCGGCTAGTGCCACTGTCTTATCTATGCCGATATTTTTGGGATGATACTGGAAATTTATTGGTTCAACGGAGGCAAACGCGAGTTAGTGACAGCATGACGATGCGTAATTTGTGAACGCGCTGACAGAGTGCCGCATCATTCCACCAGATTCACCTCCACGATGGCACTTCAGTCCACTGGCAGCAGTTCGTTAGTATAACGCTCGTTCGTTAGTATAAGGACGCAGCTAACCGCGCGGGGATTGGCCTGATAACGCGCTTTTCGCGACGGGAAGCAGATGGCGCCACATGCCGACAAGTTCAGCTGGGTAGTGGAGACGGAGAAAGAGACAGGGATGAGGAGTAATGCGCGGCCTGGGAGGATGGCGAGGGCGCAAGCAGCCCCGGCAAGATAGGCGACTTTCAGTCGGACGGGTTTTCTCTCCTGACCGGTTGACCGTGAACAGCAACGTCACGTGATTGATCGGTGACGGGGGGGGGAACTAGAAGTCACGGTTACAAGTTAAGGCCTGTGCCTACGTAGGATTGGATGCCACAAGGCGGGGATCGAATCCACCGATTATCCCGCATATATTCCGCCATCTCCCGCCATATTCCTACTATATTCAGCTATATCCCCTCCATATTCCGCTATATTATAATACATTCACTATATTCCAGGGGGGTAACACCGCTTACGCTTAATGCACTCCGCCGGGTGTGGCCTTTGGCAGTTTCTGACCTTCTGACGGGCGTCCAGGTAGTTGGCCTCGCGCTGCAGGCGGCCGATCATCTGCCTCTGAAGGTCACTGACCTGTCGAAGGTCAGCCACGTTTCGGGCCTGTGGATGAAACCCGAGTCATAGCAACTGAGAGGCAAGAGCGGCCACGGTCTCTCAGCTGTTAAGGGCGCCTGCCTTCCAATCCATCCACCCATGACCGGGTGGGTTGGAGTTCTTCAGGTGCGAACAGCTCGGATCTGACCGACGGGGCCTGCGGCCGGTGCTTAAGGTCAGGTGTCGCCAGGGGGGGGGGGGGGGAGAGGGGAGGACGGGCCGTGTCGAGTATTGCGACCTGTTAGGCTTGCGCCGTAAAGTTCTGCCGTTGACCTGGACTTTATTGATCGGATGACACGAGCCGGGAGGCCGCGCAGCAAGCAATGCTTAGCCGCGAGGCCACGCAGCAAGCAATGCTTAGCCGCGAGGCCACGCAGCAAGCAACGCTCAGCCTGGGTACTGGCGCCAAAATCTGTCCATTCAAAAGTTTCGGACGAGATCATGTGAATGGACGCGTAATAACAACAGAGATGTAGCTTCCTGACAGCACACCTGACAAGTTGAAGGCAGTGCGCGCTGTCTCATTGACAGTTGACAGGATCGCGTAACGACAGATTAAATGCAGATATTTTAGCTGAGTTGAGTATCATGTATAAAACACACAAATGGCGCAGCCGGGGCTTTTAAGGGAGGGCCTAGAGTTGGGTTACACATCACGCCGATTTTTAACCTTCTGTCGGGAACCCTCTATGTTGGAAAACGAAAATCCATATAAGGAGGGAGGCCGTCCCCCACGGCCCTGCATTGGCTGCGCCCCTGAAACACATTTGCGCCAAATTACTGCGCATAGTGATTTAAAAAAAAAACAATAACACTGAAAGGTACGATATCCAAGCGCGCAGACAAACGCGGACAACAGGAATAAAAAATAAGTGCCACTGTGTTCGAAAGCCTAACAAAGACGAGCACCCAGCAATCTGTGTAATTTTGATTCACGTGCACACATCATGCTTACCTTTGAATCGATGGCCGTGCTAAAAACAGCATATCGGGTTTTACGCTTTGAGTTATGCGCTAAGAACAACGCGAAAGGCAAAATCTTTGTAGTCGCCCGGGTCTAGGGGAAAAGTTTGCAAAAACGCCAGCCGTGATCTGTGTGATGAGAGCCTGCTTTAATTATTTGCTGTTTTCTTGGTTCGCTTTGGATTTGAGCCCCTTCGGCACGTGACACCATTCCAAGCCCACGGGATGAAGGAGGAAAGTGATGGACAAAAACTACGTTCACCTTGAGGACCCCACTGGGACTTAGCCCAATCAGGGACCCGTATATGAGGTAAGTGGGGTACGTGCGGGCTAACTTTCCCGAATGAACGAGGCTTTGCGAGGGGTACGGGACGAGGGGAGAATTAGGATCAAAGGGTCGACTCATTTCCTTTCGTTACATCAGCCTGTTGCTGCTTGCGCTGGAAAACGAGCGGGACGAAAACGTGACGCTGTGCGTAACGCTGTGACAGAACGTGACGCTGTGCGCCCTGCACACAGGCCTGGAGATTACCTGTCCCAGCGGACTGGAGGCCGGCGTGTAGAGGAGCACCATGAACACGATGCAGCCCAGCGTCAGGCTGATAACGCTGATCAAGAGGGTGACCGCCTGCAGCGCTCCCTGCCAGTTGCCGAGCAAGACGCGCCTGCGCCGCGGGCCGACAGGTGGCACTAGCTGCTCGGTATCGCTCGCGCAGCCGCCTGCACCACCGGTTTGCAACTTCATCCTGTACCTGCGCGGAAAGGGGACCGGTGATCGAAGCCCATGCGCTGAACCAGATTGATAGCATGAAAAATCGCGGCAAGACGCCACAGGACTGCGAACGACATGGTAATGGTATGGCGTTACAGCTGATCAACGCTACGGCGTGACGGAGCCGCCTTGTTTTTGTAGGACATGACGTATGGGGAAGGCGTTCATTTGACACCAAGATGAAGCATGAGTACAATTAGAGGAGTTCAAACCTCCCCCACCCAATTTAAGCACAAGCCTTCATCTTGCTTCGGAGCTCTCCTTTAGCAAGCTCTACCAACCAAAACGTCGTGTCGACGGAACACGGTCGCCGACGCTCGCCGACCTGCTCTGCATGAATAACATTTGGCATGACATGCGTGCTAGCATCCTGACCTGTGGCATGGCACGGCAACTCCTCCCGCACCAGATGCGAACTGAGGTCCGGCGAGGCCAAAGCACGTCACACTGAGTGTCGTCCAAGTCCTGTTTGACCAGGTGCATAAGGATTCAAGACTTGCGGTGGAGAAGACGGGGGAAGCGAAGAGGGGTTCTCGCTCAAATGTTTAGCGGGGGAAGTGCGACCATGAGACGTCAACGAACGGGTCTAGTCATGATCACTTTTGGCTGAATCCTTCCTCAATATATTGAGGAAACCCCGTTACCCAGATCTCCCTCCCCCCACATACACGCACTCACAGCTTGTTTAAACCTAGTGTAACCCAGCCATGTAACACAGGCAATTCTTTACACATTTTTTGTGTTTTCCCCCTATACCCGCGAGAGTAAAGTTATCTCAGTCCGGCGGTATATCAGACTTTGTTCTCAGGCCAGGTGAATCTCTATTTGGGATCAGTCAAGGACCGAAATAACTACCGAAGACGTCCGTTCATTTCAACCTTTACTTCTGGTAGTGCGGCAATGCCTAGCTTACCTTCGCGGTACACCTACTGAACAAATTATTGCACAATATTTTCGCACATCATGCAACAATTTCGTAGCACAAGGCCACGCACGTCACCTGGTTGCCACTTCTCCACAAGTAGGTACACTGTCCCCATTCCACTGACCTCTGCGAACAAGACCTTAACCACGACAGCGTCCAGTGCAACAGAACAACCCTGGTTGGTGGATGTCGCACAGACAGACTGCTTTCAGTGCTCACCTCTGTAGCACCTCTGCGACACGGCTCGACCGGGCTGTGTTCGGGGACTTTGTGTGGCGCTCGTTGCGCCAATCCCTATCGCGTCGGCCGTCCGTCGAGTCAACAGCAGGAGGGGGGGGGGGGGGGGGGCGATAGCGGGCGGCGTCATCGCCAGATAACCGCCGAACAAGGGCTCGGGCCGGCGGGCTGTGACACACTGCCCGCTGGCCACAGGGTACAGGGTGGCCGTGTGTTGTTACACCCTTCGATTCACTCACGGTCATCCTGTGCTCGTGTGACGGTCACAGGGTGCTGTATGACGGGCACATAGTGCTATGTGACGGTCACGGGGTGCTGTGGGACGGTCACAGGGTGCTGTATGACGGGCACATAGTGCTATGTGACGGTCACGGGGTGCTATGTGACGGTCACGGGGTGCTATGTGACGGTCGCGGGGTGCTGTGGGACGGTCACAAGCGCGGGTGGCTGTGCGGCAGCCGCAGAGGCGGGCGATTGCGCAATCGGCGCAGGAATGGGGGCTGTGCGGTAGTCACATATATGGTGAGCGGCCTTCTGACGGACAAAGGGGAGAGGACGGGCTGTATAACGCGCAGAAGGTGGGGGCGCACTGGTCGTTAAATAAGGAGGAGGAGCTAACTATCCAACGGACTCCGGGGCGGAGGGAGCTGTGCGACGGACGCAGGCGAGGGGAGGCGAACACAGAGGCAGGCAGAGCCTGTGCGACGGACGCAGGCGAGAGGAGGCGAACACAGAGGCAGGCAGAGCCTGTGCGACGGACGCAGGCGAGAGGAGGCGAACACAGAGGCAGGCAGAGCCTGTGCGACGGACGCAAGCGAGAGGAGGCGAACACAGAGGCAGGCAGAGCCTGTGCGACGGACGCAGGCGAGAGGAGGCGAACACAGAGGCCGGCAGAGCCTGTGCAACGGACGCAGACGAGAGGAGGAGCTGTGTGGTGAACACGGGGCGGACAGAGACTGTGCGACGGAGGCGGGCGAGAGACGGGGCTGTGTGGCGAACACAGGGACAGACAAAGACTGTGCAACGGACGCAGGCGAGGGGAGGCGAACGCATGGGCGGGCAGAGGCTGTGCGACGGACACAGGCGAGAGGAGGGGCTGTATGGCAAACGCAGGGGCGGACAGTGTCCGTGCGACGAACAAAAGGAAACCTGCGTAACCGACTAGAAGGGAAGCGGAAAAGACAGTGTGAAGAACGCATAGGGGCGACGGAAGCTATATATCATTTGATGAGGTAGGTAAATGATGTGAGCTTCGATGACCGGCACCCAACGGATGACAGACTTGTTTACAGGTGCATACGCACATAGTAGCCCCAGGCGGCACGCGGCATGTTACCAAATTTGTGACGTAGATAAATACGTGTGTGACGAAATGTTGACATTTAGAAATTCCAGATAGACATTTAGAAAATCCAGATTCTAATATAACAATTACAAGAACGAGAGCTCGCCATGCTGTTTCACGACTCGCAAGCGATTGTGTATGCCTGCAGTTAAAAATTCATTAGTTGAGCCACCCCCGCCCCCACCCCACCCTCATAACGAAGACGTACGCACGCAGTTGCCTATGTGATGGACACGGCACATCGAAAAGTCCTACTTAAGTTTTGCAGCATAGTTCAATGCTTCGTAAATCCAGCAACCGAGTCAGCATGTAGTGAATGCACCTGGTAGGTCGTTAGAACGCCAGCACCGCGTGTAGCAAAATCCACTTTTTGCCTTCAGCCATTCTTATCTAAAGCCCTCTATCGGCCGTCATCCGCTGTCGGGCGGCATGAGATTGCATCAATCATGAGGCACCTTTGTTTAAGCTCAGACACCTGCACTGGCCACATTCCAATCGTTCCATCGGAGCCTGAGGTCTTCCTGATTTCCAAAATGCTATCTGATACTTCCTTTATAAAGTCGCCTTCAGCATATCACCACCCGCCAGTTGCACCAGCCAGTTGTGGGATCGCAAGGCGATCCCCTACTTTCTGATTGGTTTAGACGACCACCGGACGACGTCTCACTCTTTGCTCATTGGATAACATCGCGTCACTTCTGTACCCAAAGACCATGAATCAGTTCCGACGCGCACCATACATAAACTGTACCTTTGGTGAACCCGAGGGAGTCTCCCACTCTCTCAGGCTCGAAGACGTGGAATCACTGTCGGTCGTGTGTGTAAATGTTGAGGTGTGAGTGTTGGTGAGCGTAGGTGCACGGAAAATAGAACCCCTGTTTGACAAGGTCTCTCTTTGGTACTCGCCAGAACGACTGGCACGAGCGAGGTCTCCACTAGTACCAACTATCACGCCAGCAGTTAGAAGTCTGCTACACCGCGGTGCAGCATCGCTGTAAGAAGACGTACCCTGAGCCTAAAATTTATAGAACCACCCACACGGATCTTCTGGGCGCTGCTGACGCGTGTCACCAGCTGCCGTTAAGGGAATTGGTGGGCGTCGGTAAAAGCTTCTATCGAACGGTCGTAATTTTCGGCGGGGAGGGCGCCAGCGCTGTAAACACGCGCCATATTTGTCGTCCGCGCTGTGAGGTCAGCATGCCGTAGAGAGGGAGCTAGCTTGCCCGTGACATATGCGAAGGCTTGCTGGATTATCAAACAAACATTTTGAACCTAATTCACAATCCATCTAGGCTCAAGCCGAGGAACCTGGGGCACTGGCAAACAGCTTTGGTTATTGTTTGGACGAATGTTTTTGAAACGTCCTGCGTTCATAACGTTTAATGGTCAAAACGTCCAAAATCGCAGCATACGGCATTCATAACGCCCAAAAAGTTCAACATCTCGAGATTGGGCGTATCACAACAGCCAAACTTGCAGCATTCAAATTCAAAGCATCTTAAGTTCATACCATCCAGTTTTTGCAACATCAGGTGTTCATGACATCCAAATGTTGGAGAACAATATCACCTTCTGGTCAATCTAAACTGATGCTTTGGAAATCACCTGTTAGAGGGATGACACAGCCGATTATCCCTGTTATGACGACGAGTGACGTCTTCCGGTGCAGTGCTGCTATCACCATCAGCTATGTATCACATGAACAACGTTTTGTTTACGCAAGCGAACTACGCCGCAACTGGCAGCAAATGTTCGTTAGCAACCGTATTGAAAACTTCAAAACTTTTGATTGCCGGCCCGTGGCCTGTATATCTCTGGTTACTCGGCAGTAGCTGCACGGTGATTGTGGAAAGACTTTCAATGGATGACCTGCTATCACGTTATGGCGGGCTGTGGATGAAGTCATCCACGGTGTGGACTCTCATGCTTTCTTTATTGTATCAACAATGTCCCACGAACCATTTTGGTGATGCAGTTGATTGCTTGAAAAGCTCTGATTTGCGAGAAAGCCACACGTGGTTTCCATGATCATGGGACGGTTTCAAATGAAACCATTTCATGGTACTGACTTAAACCTTTTTAAGAGCTTAGATCCGTGCAGCTGTGGGCTAACTAACCTATTGTTGCGGTTATGTCTATGTTTCAGTGATCACATAACATGGAAAATGCAGTGTGCTTGCGAGCACGCATGTTCAGCACTATATGACGTGGTTTTCTTATCAGTAATCAGCTCTGACAGAGTATTGAACATGTTAAGACGAGCATGGGTTAGCCATGTTAATACAAATTAGGAACCCCATTTCATCTACAATCTCCAGTCAGGGAGAACTCAATATCACTGAAGAACACAGAAAAACACGGAACTGGAGTCTATGTGACAACTATCGGACTACCTGCAGTGATCAGGGATGTTGTTGTGTTAATAAGGGCTCCTGTGCCGATCCGGGGCTAACTGCGCGGATCAGAAGGCCTCCCGTGTCAGGGATGGGAACAATGTGATATGACATATCCTTCTAATGGCCTCCAGATCGACCAGGAGATCCTGCCCCGTGCCACCAGAATGGTAGCCAGAAGACACTTCGCGATCGGACGGAATGGCTCTTCAGCCCTTGACCTGAACCGGTAATGTACCCCCAGTGTTCAACTCAAGAGGCCCCTTGCCCGGAAGGAAATAAGGGGTCTCATTATTGTTGAGTAGAGTGGGGCTCTCATTATTGTTGAATAGCGCGGGTCGAAATAAATTTTAATAAACAAGCAAGGTCATGCCGTGTTTGCCTGACAACGTTCATTTTTTCAGAATGTATCATTCCAACAAATTACATCGAAAGGCTTGAACATGCCCGCCCACAACCTCGAGACCAAGGACAAGGATGGTCTGGGTTGCAACTTTCGTAAAACCGAAAAGCTTCGGCCACTGCAAGTGCCACCAGACGGCGGGCGCCGCGTTAATCTGTCTTGTGGACAAATCAATAGCTGCGAAAACACGAAAAATAGAGGTTTTACCTCCACTCTTCCAATTCAACCATCAAAGCCCCACTTCCAGCCCCACTTCGCGGTGCTTTAGGGGCCAATCCGTTCTTTTCATCAGTCTAAAAATTGCACACATGAAATATGCGCTCAGACTGCCTTCTAAATACAAGACCTGCTGTCATGAAGCATTCAAGGATACTTTTTCAGAAGCGTCGTCATTTTTGTCCGTCCCTTGGCCATGACTTAATATTAGCTGCTAAGCCGACGTTGCGCGGCCTACGGAGACTGCAACGCTTGAGTTCGAGGCTTGTGTTTCTAAGATCTAAGAGTGCGCATGCTCAAAATTACGTCGCATGACTTGTATTACTAGCTGATTTAAGCGTTTAACGGTAATCATTTCAGAAACGTCATTATTTTCGTCCACCGGTCCACCGTCACTATTTTCGTCCACCGACACAGCTAAATATTGGCTATTCGGCTAACGCTCCGCGGACTATGGAGACTGCAACGCCTGGTGTCGAGGTTTTTGTTACCAAGATTTGCGAGCGCGCATGTTAAAAAAACACGGTACGTAAATTGTATCACTAATCGATTCTGACTGAATGATGAACATTTTCAGACAAACATGGCCTGGCCATGTTAATACACATCGTTAACGACTCAATCTGCAATCAAATTTTCATCTCCAAATTTAGATCAAACATATCGATCCACAGTCTACCTTCGCGATGTCCTCAAT